GGGAGGCAGCAGGATATTGCGGAATCAAGCTATGTGGAAGAGATGCGGCGACACTCTGTGGAAGCGGAAGAGATGCTGTGGCGCTATGCGAAAGAAGCAGAAGAGATGCTGCGGCGCACTGCGAAAGAAGCGGAAGAGATGCTGCGGCGCTTGCGCTTCGTGGAAGTGAAAGAGAAAGAAGCGGCGGAAGCGGAAGAGATGCGGCGCGCGATGCGGAAGTGGAAGAGAGGCGGCGCATCTATGTAGAGAAGCGGCAGCAGTGACATTTGGAAGAGAAGTGGCAGCGACTTTGACCTTTGGAAGAGATCAAAGGTTGACGTTTGGGGCTGGGTTTTACCCTAAAATGCCTGGGTACTTGTTTCTAAGGGGTAATCCTATTTAAACTCATTTGTTTTCATTTCACCCACCGATGTGGGATTGCCAACAAATTTTTCATCACATTTTGACTGATCCTGAGGAGTCAAGCTATTTGGAAGAGATGATGCAGCGACGTTGACGTTTGGAAGAGGAGGCAGCGATGTCTGGAGTTCCTTGAGGTAGAGGGAACTGTAGCATCTCTCTCTTTAAAAACGATAATTTCTCAGCACTGAATCCTTACCATGCAATTGTCCATCCACCACATTGGTAGCCCAGATTATCAGCATGACTGCCAGCGACTAGAATTTTAGACACCTTCTTGGGAAGAGGTATGACTGGATCTGTAATGTTCCCGCTTTTCCCTTCTTCAAAAGCACGACGGATTTTCTGACAGCCTCCCTTGCCAAATCTCTATGATCCTGGTAATGTTAAATTAAAATAAAAAAATGATTGATTCATGTCAGTAAATCAATAAATACAAAGCTTACTAAGCAGTCTTTTGGCCATTGAATGTAACACCAATTTCAAGGGAATGTCCATTCTAATTTTATCGAACTATATACATCAATCAAATGACCAATAGGAGGGTTGCAAATCCTGATAATTGATTATCTCGGATAAACTGACCTGGCTTCCAAGCTCATTGACTAGGCTGAAATCAGCCAACGGGTTCTCAAAAAGACCCATGGTGAACTTGACAAGCAGAATCCTTCCCACAGCATCATCAATACGATCCATTGGGACAACGTTATTCTTGACCAGGTTAATGAGATCATTAATGAATTCTTTATAGTTGATAGGGACCATGACCTTCAAAACAAAGAGAACCATTTTCAGAGTTTTATAATTTCGAACCAGAATAGAAAAAGAGTTTTATATAGTGTAACAGAGATGCTATTCTCTTCTTTCATATCTGTAAGAGGTTTTTATAAAAAAATAAGCCACGAACCATGTCAATTCCAGCTAGAACTGAAGCTTGGACAGAGTATGTGTAGTTTGAATGCGGCGGCGAGGTAATCCTGTCAATACCCTCCAGTCTGATATAACAAAACCTTGAATGTTCAACCAAAAACATCATGTGCTGTTAGCATGACACAGTGCAGAACACAAATAAAGGTACAATACAGTCACCAAAATGAAGCACCTATTGTGAGACTGATAACAACCAGAACTCGAGATCAGTGATATTATTGAGTTATCAACTTATCACAAATACCTTAATTTCATATTGAATCTGAAATTTCAACTCATTAACACAGATGAAGCTTAAAGACGCTAAAAGGTGGGAACTGATGCAAAACAGGATAAATCATATAACTGATGCGGTACTGATGTATGCTAGGCACTTCAATTGTATTAAGAGAAATGCGCAAAAACTGCATCAGAAGTTTATTTGAATGTATTATGATGGCTACAAAGACAATAATCTGTAATGGCTACAACAACAACATCTAAGCCTTATCCTACTAAGTGGGGTTTGGCTGTATGAAATAAAGATGACGTTAGAGGGGAAATACGAGAAAGTATGTAAATGCAGCGAACCCATCTATAGACACCAAAAGTGGTAACATGGGAAAGTGAAGAATCATGCTAATCACTAAGCAATGTCCAAGAAAACCTGACCGCATTAATGTTTTAATGTGGAAGTAATTTGAATTTGATTAGATAATATTGGAGGTATTAAAACCCAACATGTAAGAAATACACAAGGTTGAGAAAGGCAATAAAAACAGATAAGGCTGACAGCATTTGAAGAATAAGAAGAGATTGAGGGAAAGAACAGTTATAAAGCAGTCAACTAGTCACGATTAAGAGCATATATTTTGAAAATCTGTAATTTAAGCTATGAGATGCCAAGGAAGAGAAAACCACACAAATAAAAGTACTGATAATTGCAATGTGCAAAGGTTTGGGTGCCAAAAACCTTTCTTTGAATTCATGGTAAGATTTAACACTGCGCATGCTAGTTTCGTGCTTACATCAAATCTCGGTACATGGATGAGACATGATTGCACTTTATATCTTTCTGTGCATGTGCTTGTTAACTCCAGAAAAACTGCAACAAGCTTGGATATTAAATAAAAGTGAATAAAATGATACCTTAAATTTAAGGGTGCCCTTAGGAAGTCCGTAATTAGATCACGGTTTGCATGCATCTTTTTCCCATTCCAACTGAAGTAGGAAATCATCACGGTTGAGACACCCTTGATGATGGAGTCAGAATAGGCAGGCATGTGGATGCTAAGCAATTCCTGTTGGTCAATCACAGTGTCGTACTCATTAATGCCCTTGCTCGTGCCACCATCACCAACGAAGTGCTTTGCACAAGCTGCAACCTTTTTACTAAAATATAATAAATAAATAAATATATATCAGGAATCACTGAAAGCTTGAGTATTTTAACATTAGTTAAGGAAATAAAAGATAAAAAGAACCACTAAATTCATTTGATTTATTAATTGAATCCATAACTAGAAAAACACGACGCGTGTTATCCAAATTATATTTCAGCCAAATTACCTTCCCTAAACTCACAAAATCCAGTAAATTGAGATCATGAGCAATAGTTACAATACAAAGGATTGTATCTTTTAAATCAAAAGAAGGAAAAATGAAAATGGAATGAACAGAGAAAAATAAAAAAGGAAAGATAGAAGTATGCTTATTTTCATAAAATTCGTACTTTCCACTAACATATGGCGCTCCTTTCTGAGAATTTGCAGGGATATCTCCCTGTAAACCTGGAATAATCTCCGTCATTTCTTGCACAATTTTGTGATCTTCACTGTAGCTTTCGTAACACCGGCCCCATCTTGGATCTCTACATACCTATATAGGATGTTCCAGGCAATGCACAGAAGCCATCAGATGGAGAAAATATGAACGCGCTCAAAGGACATTGTTAAGCATGTAAAAGAAGAAAATGCTGAACGCATAAATCCTTTTGTAATGTATTATTTACCGCAATGCAAGGAGCAAATACATAAGGAATCCCTGTAGCTCGGGCTTCAAGAGCAGTTGCAGAACCAAGTCTTCGTACCAGTTCAGGGTCCCTGTATACTGGAAATATTTAATAGAAAGAAGACAGATTCAATGAACTATAAAACGAAAAACATCTAAAAGGATTTTGAAATGCATGGTTAGTTATTTTAATACTTGCTGAAGTATAATAGAGATTTACTTGTAAGGATTTGACCCTAATGGGACCTTGTTGTAGTTATAGAGTTACAGAGTGCTGCTTTTAAACGACGGTGACAGATCTCATCCTTTGTGTAAAAATAGAACAATGCCCTATCATATTTTGAAATGAAGCAAATAGAATCTGAAACTTTTACCTGCCTGGTAGCTCCAAGCCCAACATTATGTGGAAATATTGTAGCATTGTAGACATTATTGTGTCCATGAACAGCATCAATGCGATAGATCATAGGAATGCCCAAACGACTAGATAGAGCTCCCTTCTGAAATCCGTTAATCATGTTAACCCAGTCTTCAGCACTAGCTTCTGGAAGTGGTGCACTGCCACCACCGCTCAATACACTACCTGCACAAATCAGAACACATCCTCACTCCATTGTCATATCATCTGTGTGTTCAATACTTTTCTCTTTACCAAAAGTCTTCCTCCCTCCAAGGCAAAAGGAGACAATCTGAAGGCTTGTTAATTGAATAAAGAAGAACCAATCTCATAACAGGATATGTTCTTGCAGCCTCCAGATTCAAAGTGATACTTCCTGTTTAGTTTGTACAAAGTTAGAAATGCAACAAAAAGAGGTAATGTGTGGTTTTTGGTGACACCAAGGCAGGATTCTAGACATATGTTTAGGGAAAATTGCACAGTAAGTACAAAATCCTAATATTGACATCTCAAACACCCTATGCACAGACATTATCTCTGCAGAATAACCCCAATTGCAGGGGTTTTTTTTTACCAACTGCACCCCTTCGTTTTGCTATTCATTTTGCTACTTCAACCATTTTATCCGTATATATAAATTAAATCACTAGAGAACACCTCAACTCGTGCGTAAACTCCTTTCTTAATAAGATAAAATCCACAAGAAAGATATACAAGAATTGTGTTGTGCCATCATAAAAAGTCATTTAACGGCTTGATTTGAAGAAATAACAGGAATGAAATGCGGACAGAATGAGACGAACACTAGAAATCAAACAATTTATGTTGGTGTGCATCCAACACAGTTGAAGGTTGTATTGAAATGGATAAATTACATACCAATGAAGTAAGTTTTCTTAGTATCAACAGAGGCGACACTCCTATCAATCTGCGTGTTGAAGGTGAGATGAGGCTTCCTTTCTAGCATTTTTACGAGAATAGAATAAGAATTGAAGAATATCTTCGTTGAGTTAATCCAGTAGAATATCTAACATTTGTATCATAGCTAGTCGTTAGTTAAATATCTGAGACTCTCCGAGTATAGACATTAAAGCTGAAAGGGTCATGTAAAATGTAAGTGGAAAAATTACGGAAGCTGCTATTGGCACTCCAGAAAAGTCATCATGCAGACTGTTTTTTGTGAGTGCTAATTATCGTGCCGAACTTGATGATTTAGTTTTCTGATAGAAATGGATTGTTATTGATGACAGATTGTTGGATTTATTGGTGTAGAGAGCGAGCGGCAATGCTGTCTGACTACAGTTTTGATGAGGTCGAAGGTATAACCTTTTAAGTTCATGTCCCCTCTTGGCCTAGAATGTAATAACTCGGGAGAGATTTTAATCTGGTAGTTATATTACTCATGATTTATTATGGCTTTACCAGGCTGAGGTGACAGCTGCTTTCACTTGGTTGCACATGCATCGGACATGGCTGGATAGTTCAGAAATTAAAGAACAAGAAAGATGGTTATTTTTGCTTCCTAACCAGGTCTGCATCTATTTTCTTGGGTCAAGATCGGGAGACACATTTTGACACACTTTCTTAGGGTCGGGATTGGGGGATCTGATTCCATATTGTTTACACATCTATCTTGAATGCTGTGTTCAGAATCCGGTGGTTAATTCCAGGTTTACTGGTCACAATAAGGCATCCTTGTACATATAAGTTACCAGGACCAGGTCAAAGTACATGGTGACTAAAGTTTGATTGATGTGTAGGCCAATTGCAGAATCCTACTGCTACGAAGTACACAATCTGATATGCTAGTTTACACAATGTGATGCAATAAGTACTACATTCGGCTGCAGTAAATTAATTCTCAAGTTATTCCATTTCGTTTTCAGTCTTCCAGGTTTTGTTTTTGCTTTTTTGAAAACTGAAAACTTGTTGAGCAACTATTTTAGTTTTTATAGTTAATTTGGTTTGTATATCAGCTTTTTTTCGTATATTTTTCAGCTCATATTCGTATGATAATTTTATTTTGTGTCTCTGGCTTTCAGTTTCATGGATGCACATGAAACACAATAATCTGCATCCGAAATCTTTCAGCGGAGTTCGACTTCATATGCCCGTTGTGACAAGGTCAGCTTCAGTAGTTGTTAAGGCCTCCTCTGACATTGATGGAACTGCTGCTGCAAATGAGGGCAGTGAGCCCCTTCCAGATAGCAAGGAAAAGGCGGTGGTACCTGTCGACAAGCTTCCTTTGGAGTCAAAGCTGCAAGAGCAGCTAGAGCAGAAGAAGAAGATGCAACTGGCGAAGAAAATAAGGCTTCGCAGGAAGCGAATTGTTCGCAAGCGAAAACTGAGAAAGAAAGGCAGATGGCCTCCATCAAATATGAAGAAGTTAAAGAATGTCTGAGGTTTACCTCATGCTTTCTTGCAGGTTTAGTTCTGACCCTTTTTGTTTATGCGGACGCGTGATTTTTGTTATTGCAAGATCAAATGTCTCTTCGTATTGATGTAATTTCTTAGTTTGAATCTTGATGATGTCAATGGAAAAATTCCTTACGTTTTTGCGAGGTTTTGATCATCCCCTGGCTTGTTCAGGGCTGTTCTCCAGTTTTATAGCTGGATCTTTCTTCCAAGACATCCAATGCAAGCGTTCTTTTTTGCTTTGGGCGAAGGCTGAAGATCTATTTCGGATCTGGTGTGTGGATCTTTCCTTTAGCTGGTGGAGAAATAAAGTTTTGCGTTTGTATCGATATATAAAGAGGAGTGGCCGATATTTCACTAGTGGATCAGCAAATTCATGCCGTCTTTGATGACGAGCAAGTACTTTGGCCCTCCAACGGGGCGGTAGGGGAAAATTGAGCGGAATTGCCATTTCCCCTTTGAGGTCCATCTTTGTTGAGTGTTGCTGCGACACTAGTGTTTAATGTGAAGCAGATCCTATTGCTAATTTGTTGTCAGCTCTAATGAGTTTTGTCCGTTGTACCGGGTTTCAATATTTATATGGCAAAACCCTCCCTATGCGGGGCTGATTGTATTATTCCTAACATGTAGTTTGCTCCCGTATTACGAATGAAGAAAATTCTCCTTTCCACCGAAAAAGAGAGTTTTGATTAGACCTGGTATTCGTGTCGTGCTTTTCGTGTTCGTGTTGTTTTCATGTCATACCCGATATCTTAACGGGTCGTATCGTGTAAAACTCGTTAAAATAAACAGGTAAAATGACCCGACCCGAAATCAATCTGATAATATTAACAAGTAATGATCTGACCCATTACCCGGTAAGGAAAATATATTTTAAGCCAATAAATAATCAAATAAAAAACATAATACTAAATAAGTATATACATACCATATTGACACATCCAAAACATAAAAACGAATTTTTTTTAAGTATATTTTCGCTTACCTAAATTGATTGTTCTAGCCTTTTTCTTTGCAAGACTCATATTTGTATTGTCTATACTTTCACTTTTAAGATCTCGTTCTGTTCCCATTATAATCTCCACGGACTCCTCATCACTAAGGTTTATTGAATCTGAATCTCTAGCATTCATTGCTTCTGAAACAAAATGGGTATAAATTAACTAATAGCTTAATTAATTAAGTAAAGTCTTTAATAGTTTTTTAATTAATGTACAAGTGTAAAACATATAGAAAAATATATAAACGCTTGTATTACAAATTTCATGACACGCCCCGATCCCGACATACGTCCAGGATCGACCCGTGATGTCACCAAGAATCTGTATCTCTAACATACCTCGTCTCTGGGATATGTGCAAACACAACTCACGATCCAACTACATAGTAATTTTTCGTACACTTTATGGTTGCATCTAACCTCCTCGTTAAAGTGCCTACGTATCCTCAATAGGGATCAAGCCATTTGTAGTTCAACATTCACAAAATCAGACGTTTATCCCACTAAGTTCAAGCAGAAAAGCATACCATTCGTCAATAATCATTTATTATAACCTGACAACATGAAATTCCTGGACTCAGGTTACATAACAAACCAACATGCCATTCACAATTCTCATTCCATCCATCGTATAACTTCATGTTTTCAGCACGATACTTCCATCCATAGCATGTAAACATCAATTAACCAACGAAGCACATATTATTCTCAAGCCACATTGATCAACTAAAATAATTATAATAATGACAACCATAACCAAGGTCATTCCACAATCCCGTCAATCAATCAATTCATAAATCAAAAATACATGATCTTAGCATTTAATTATGTTAATCAATGAATGCGATAACATATCATTTCACAAATTTAACCAAGGAACTCTATATAATTTCCGACTTGGATTATGAGCAATAACACGGTAAATCTATTTTATATTCACAAGGTCTATTGTGGGTAATTCCCATTCACTCGAATCTAGGGTTCTAGACTAATCTTATGGGAACGAGCGAAAGCAAGGATTCCGGACCACTCAACAAAATCCAACAATACCGGGTTCTGGACCACTCAACGGAACCAAAATATCAAGCGGTTTCTCATAATCTACCCAAACCTGTCATATGTAAAATCAGTGCCTACATCATTGAAATGGTGCACCAGCCAAACGGAACTCGGATAAGCTATAGAGCTCTGGTGAGTGACAATAATACAAGTATGTAATATTCAATTAAAACAAACCATCGATCACAATCTATAAACATCAAGTATAGAATCATGCTTTATGGAATCATAATCAAGTCACTGAAAACTTCATATGAGTCACCCAGACATCTAACAAGTTTTTCTAATTCAAACCACAAAATTTTAAAAAACCAATTTTCATATGTACATTAAAAAATAGGGCTAGAGGGACACAATTTAGCCGAAGCCTACATAGTAACCAAACAGGAAGTGGCCCCCCAAAAAGGATTAACCAAGCAAAGCCACCCCTGAGAAAATAACCAAGTAGGTAGTGACTCCCCAACGTGGATTAACCAAGCAGAGTCGCTCCTACAGCTGTTAGGAAGTCATCACCCAATACGGATTAACCAAGCATGATCACTCCTAAGCAAACATGGCCATCAGGATAGCCCAACGCGGATTAACCAAGCACAATCCATATACAATATGGTCCCCCAATGCGGATTAACCAAGCAGGGCCACTAGTGACCCCCCAATGCGGATTAACCAAGTAGGGTCAAGATAATCAGGTAGGTAGTGACCCCCCAACGTGAATTAACCAAGCAGAGTCACACCTACATAATTGTTAGGCAATGATCACTCAATGCGGATTAACCAAGATGATCACCCCTAAGTATAAATGGCCATAAGGATCGTCCAACGCGGATTAACCAAGCGCGATCCATATAGAGTATGGTCCCCTAATGCGGACTAACCAAGCAAGGTCATAGTCCCCTACTAGCCCTCAATTTACAAAACATTTCAATACACAATTCGAATCACTTTTTCACAAATATTACGAATCCATGAATCAAATCACGTTTAATAAAAATAGATCGATGGCCAATTATAAAAGAATCACATTTTAACAGAAAACACATATATAAAACCATGTCATATCCACAAAGGATATTAATATAAAGAATCGGGTAATCACCATATCACATATATTAAAATTACTCACCGAGACAAGTCCTTAAAGCTTCAATGAGTCTTTAGTAATACTAATTTTAGTAATTCAAATGGTTCAAGACCTGTTGACCAAACGTCAATGGCGGGGTCCACACCCTAGCAATTTAATCCGGAAGATCCGCCCATCATAATATAGATCTGTAACTTCCTAAGGTCCACATTATGCTCAAAAAACAACATACTAAAATCTCAGCGCGATCCAACGGTCGAATCTCCGCCAATTGCTAGAATTAGGTGGTAGTTAATAATTAATTTTATTAACTTAGAATCTAATTCGGGAAGATCTGTATGTCGGATTCCCGATCTGTCATTTCCAGTTATCCTCAAATATTATGTTCTATAAACATTAAGGTTTAGTGATGATCCAACGATCGAATTGGCGATTCATATTTTGATCAAGTAATGTGTCGTAATGAAACTAAGTTCAAACAATCAATGTACGTCATATGGATATGAAACATGAACCCAGGGCATCTAATAGTACTTAAAAAGACATCGTTGGCCCACTAGCCATGCGCAGCTGCAGGTGGCGGTCGGCCGTCTCAACTCGCTGGAAAATTCAATTATTTCCAAAAATTCTCAAGTTTTACTAGAATGAATATCTCAATGAGTAGAGTAAGTTTCATACATGTGACCAAGGCCAATTTTTTCGGGAAAGACCTCAAATGGCCCATGAACTGCCTGAAACCCTTGATTTGGGTGACTTCGATCTGTCACCTCCAGTGCTCCGCCGCCTCCAAGGTTGTTTGGACTTTGTTCCTGGGTTCAAGGAGAGTCTAATGGTGGTGATAATTGGTGAAAATCATTTCAATAATGGGAGAATCGACGACAAGGGGTTCTCGTACCCACTGGTGCGGTTTTCATAATTTCATGGCTAAATTTCTACAATTTTGGGTTTTAATGGGTAGAGGAAAGGTCGCAGAACATTTTACAAGGGTTAGATAACGTGGTTCACTGGAAAAACTGATGAAAAACCACTGGAGAATATGAAAAAGACCGGGTCAGGTCAAGAAGTGCAATCGGGTCGAATGGGGGTCCAGTTCCCCTCCTTCTCCCCCCTCTCCTTTCCCCTCCTTACTTCTCTTTTCGATTGGTCCTTCTTCCCCCTCCTTTTCTCTCCTTTCTCTCCTTTCTTTTCTTTCCTTTCTATCATAGTCGTCCATCTCTTCTTTTGCCTTCATTCTAGCCACACACGTGGCACATCTTTTGCTCCAGATTTTTTGGAGCCTTCTAAATGAGGGCAAAATTACAAAAATATCCCTAACTTTAAACGTTAATAACTCTCTCGTTATAACTCCATTTCATAAACAATTTACGCCTACGCGTTCATGAGATCGGGCTCTATTCAAAAATATAAATTGTGACATCGAACGATCTACAGATTTTAAATAATTAGTTTTCAAACTTCACTCTTCGTAACTAGTTTAATTAAAATCTAAATTCAAATAAATTAATATAATATCCTGAAAGATAAAAATCTCAACAATACAATATGTAGATTATAACAGCGAAATCCGAGAATAGGATTTCACATTCATGAAGAGCTTAACTTCAAAATTCGCCACTATAATCATATAAATCATAGATCAAAATTTAATCGTTGATTGTTGTTTACATTTACGCTTTATTGTTCTCATCAAATTTTCTTTTTTCAGATTTTCTTTTTTGAAAACATAATCTATTAGAGGATGGAGGAAGATAAATAGTTTGGATCATTGATATTATATTCAGAGTTTTACGATTAGTGAAAATATTGCTTGATATTTATAAAGTTTCTACAAACTATATGATATCGA